TTGCCGAACCCAGAGAAACTGTCACTTGCACTCTGCCGCTGTCTCCAAAGGAGCGTTCTCAAACATCACTTTGCGGGGAAATAGATGAAGACTCCAAACTCGCACAGCTCACTTCATAAAATGAATCACGATTTGTTTTTCAGAATCAATGAATTGTTTCGAGACCCGGTTTGATTTAGAAGGATGGAAATCCTTGCACTTTCATCCCCTCAACCGTGAAGATTGTCAGCTTCCCGTGGCCCTCCGTGAAGGCAGAGCTTGTGTTTTTCAAAATAAGACCTTTGCGACTTACAGACTTTCAAACAACTGTCACAAAAACTCTCGTCCTCCGTCCCAAAATGGGCGTCCGGACAGACGGACCCTTTGGGTCCAGGGACGGATTGCCCATCTCTGCTCCCGGGCATTCATTATCTGTCATCGTCTCTGTGCTCTGCGGGAGTAATGATCACTGGAGATGAGTTGGGGACCTTCTCCGCCTCTTCTTCCCGGAGACAGGCTGAGTCACTTTGACGGGAGGTGTCAATCAAGCGATTTGAAATCCATTTTCTTTGCTCTTCAGGATCTTCTGGTGAGACTAACCAATGACGCCGATCCCCATTTTCTCTTTAGCCTCGCAATATCTGAGGAAGACTTCCAAAGGTTTGTTGAAGAAGTATAATTTTCTGTGTCCGTGTAGGCTTTTTTTTTTTTCAAGCTTTTTTTTTTTTTTTTTTGGGTCATCTTGCATGTAGTTTGAAAGTCCAGCAGTCGCTACTGATTGAATTCACGTCGTTCCCCGAGATGCTGACGCAGCTTCTTCGTCAATGTCAATCGGAGCAGAATTGCAGCCATCCCAGGTACTGCGCCGTCCTCCTCCTCCTCCCGATGTCAACATGGATCACTTGCATTTTCTCAAACGCAATACGACATGTTTTGTCATCACGAAACACTACCCGTGTTGTTGGTGTTTCAAATGAGCCCCCTCCCCTTCTCAAAAAAAAAGCCAAAGAATGTGTGCTGTAACGTTTAAGAACAGCTTTTCTGTTCCTTTGACCCGTCGCACGATTGTAATGCTCAAGTAAACTTTCTTCAGTTTGTCTTCATTTTAAGACACAAACGACGGTGTCGAGTTTCAACAGTCACACGATTCGTATCAAACCACAAGTGGCTGTAATCATACGTGGAACGGCTTCAATGGTTTCTTTGTTAGCCAAGCGCAACATCGGCGGTCGCTGTTCCTTTAAGGAAAGCGCCGGCCGAAAACGGCACGCCGTCTCTCTTTGCGGCATGGCAGGCGGCTAACCGAGCCGACGGCATTTACGCGGCGGCGGCTTTCTGTTGTTTGGTTGTCTCTTGTGCCCCGCAGGTTCCAGCTGCTGCTGTCGTGTGACTCGCCGTCACTGGATGGCCCGGCCCAGCTGAACGTGATGGAAAGCAGCTCCTTCAAGCACCTCAACCAGCTCTCTCTGCAGCTGGCGCAGGCCTCGGACAAGCACGTCAAGGACTACCTGGCCGCCTGTCTGGCCTCTCTCAAGGTGAGCCAATGCCAAAAGAGCCCACTGGAGCCGGGCCAGGTTTCAGCGGGGAATCAGATGGGCGGGCACGCTCGCGCCGAGATCGGCTCACGTGCGTCCGCGCTCGTTTTTGTATTTTCATCTTTCAAATTCATCACGTGGGAAGCACTTGACCAGTGACTTCATCACGTGCAAAAAGCCTGTTGCCTTTCAGGCCGACAAAGAAGCGCTGGAGGTCAAACTGCAAACGACCGAAGATGATCTGACCAAGCGGCTCCACAATGCTGAGCAGGTTCGTCGCTTTCCCTCACTATTCAAAGCGGAAAACGCACCAAACTCCGGCGATCGATGGACCGCTCATCGACTATCAAACCATTCGATGGCTGTCCGTAATACCTGAGCCATGGTCTTTGTTCGGCGCCGCCGCTAATGGCTCGACGGTCTCGCCGACCAAGAAAGAGTTTTGAGTCCCGTCCCCCGTTGCGATGTCTTACCAGGCGCTGTCGGAAAAGAGCACCGAGATGGAGCGTCTGCGTTCAGAATGGACTCTTCAGAGCAGCTCTCTTTCCAGCCGACACGCCGACGAATTGCGGTCCGAGCGGGAGAGGGCGGCCGAGGTGAGGCCCCCGCACCCCGAACGACCCGATGTTGCCGATGTCCGAGTGACGACGGCGCGGCGGCGACGTGTCCCAGTTGCAGGAGCGCCTGCGACAGGAGACGCAGCAAGTCCGCCGAGATCTGGAAAGCGCTCACCAGCGCAGCAGCCAGCAGATGCAGAGCCGCCTGGCGCAACTGGAGACCTCCTGCGGGGAGCTCGGCGACAGGAATTTCAAAAACGAGGCCGCCCTCCGGGACCTCAAATCCAAGCTGGCGGGCGCCGAGGAGGTACGTCGACCAATAGCGGCACCGGGGTTCCTTGACGTGGTGTTCCAGCTCCGGAGACCGCGGCAAAAAAAAGTGTGCTCCGCGTGACGCAGGAGTGCCGGCGCTTGGAGCAGCAGGTTGGCTCGCTGCGGCGCGACAAGGACTCTGCGGACGCCGAGCTGCACGCCAAGGAGCGGCTGGCCGAGCAGCTGCGGGCGCGCATGGCCGCCCTGCAGCAGGAAGTCGAAGACAAGGAGTGGAAGATGAGTCGAACGCAGGAAGCGCTGACGGCGGCGCAGCAGCAGCAGGTTTGTGGCGGCCCGCTCGGACGCCGGCGGGCCGCGTCACGCCGCCCTCTCTTTATTCTGCAGGGATCCCTCAGGAAGAGCGCCGACGGCAAAGAAGCTCAGCTGCGACAACTTGAAGCCCAGGTGGAGTTTTTGGAAGCAGATGTCAAAAAGGTTGGTGTCCCCCCCCCCCCCTTTTCTTCTTGACAGTCCCGACAAGAAATGCGCTTGGCCGCGTGAGGTAACCGGTGAGGTGGTTGTAAATGTTGGCCCGTCACGCGAGAGCGCCGCGTCATCTTGGATCGAGTGGATTCAGAGCTCCATCTGGTGGACAAATGGCGCAACGTCAGGAACTCCCAATGACTTGAGTGCAAGCCGAGAAGAATTCTCATGAAAAGAAAAGGGCCGATGTCAGATGAATCGACGGGGCCCGATCTAACGGTGTCGCGATTAAGATGTGAAGAGGCTTTGAAAGCTGCTGCCCGTTGACGTGACGTCTGGCGGCGTTGTCAGGGCAACGAGATCATCAAGAAGTTCCAGCGCGAGCTGCAAGTTCAGCAGGACAAGAACAAAGACAAGAGCGCCGTGCTGGTGGCGCAGGAGAAGATTGTGCGCGACACCTCGGCCAAGCTGGAGCGAGCCCACCAGGAAGCGCAGGATGCCCGCCGGCAGCTCGACGACAAGGACCGACAGGTGAGCGGCACGCGCCGAAGGATGGCGGGCGCGTGGCTGCGCGCGGGCTTTTTACTGGCACTCTTGTTCACGGGCCCGTTTCCTCTCGTGTCATGAATGGGCGTCGGTGTGGATTTTTGTGTTTGATTTTGTGTTTTGGTCCATCTGCGCGTGGGTTTTTGACGGTCAGATCGCAAGTCTGAAGGAGCAGCTGGAGTCGAGCGTGAAGCAGCTGTCCGACACCAAGGAGGTGTTGCAGAACAACAAGACAGGTGAGGAGCGTCCGTCTCGTCCCAACCGCGCGGTCGCGTGACTCGGCGCGTGTCGCGCTTGTCGTCGTCAGTGATCGGCTGGCTGAACAAGCAGCTGGACGAGAAGCGGCTGCACGAGAATTTTCCGGAGCCGTCGGAAAACGCCCCGATGTCCCTGGGCCCCCGAGTAAGCCAGAGCGTCGCCGCCGCCGTCTTTGTCGACGGCGCGTACCGGACTGAGCGCCCGACGCCTTTTGTTCTTTTCTTTGCCCCCCCGCAGGCACACTTTTCTCCGCACGCGACCGCGAGCAGACCGAACGACTTTGCCGGCGGACTGGATGCCAGATACTTTAAGAGAGACGACGGCATCCCCGTCTACGGTCTCGCCGGCGCTCTCATTCCCAGAGGTGACTTCACACAATCGCAACGCAACACGCCGTCCCAAGCGCACGACGATGTGAGACACGTGTAGAACATAATCGACTGCGTCGCCCCATCCCGTGTGGATGGGCCGATTCCTCTCTTTCCTCGTCAGAGTTGCCGCCGCCACGCAGCAAAGCTCCCGTGGCTTCAGCCTACTTTCCCAGTTGAAACGCACGCACGCACACTGTCGACGTTTTTGTTTGCACGCCTGCGTTCTGGTTGTTGATTGTTCATTTGTTGTTGTACCTCTCAGTTCCTTAAATAAATCATTCCCACTTTGTTGGAATTGTTTTCGTCAGATTCATGTGGGAGGACGCGAGAGTCTTTGCGATCGAGGGCTCGATCAATAAATCGCGCTTTGCCAAAATGGAGTCGAATTTGCACACAAACACAGTGACGAGCGGCCACGCTAATCACGGGCCGAGGTCAAGTGGCTTTCAGGCCGCCGCTTAGTCGTGGTCGCGGGTCTTGCCCGGCTTGTCTGAAATTGCAGTTTGGAATGAAGAGCGGATGAGCAGCGTCAAGGTGAAGCCTTTCACTGTGGCATTTTCTCCGCTTTTTAGTCAGGACCCCGTGATCCGCTGCTGATAACGAATGATCAGAAAAGGTTCAAGACATTTTTTTTCCCTTGAGCACATTGCTGTGCGATATCTGGCAAAATACTCTCAAATGGCTGCCGGACAGTCAGTTAAAATCTTTGTAACGTATTTGACAAGGGAAGGGAACGAGTTAGCTGCTGTTAGCACCTTTTGGCCTTGGTGGAGGTCTCTCGTCTTTTTTTTTTTTTTTTTTGTTTTTTGAAATGGAGAGGGAATGGGCACCCGCG